TGAATTGCTACACACTAACCTAATGGGACAAAAAAAAAATTTACAGCAGCTATCAATATGCAACATAATGATAGATGACTTCTCTAAATTCGCTTAGGTGTAATTTCTGATAGGGAAAAATGAAGTATTTTATAAGTTCATTCAGTTCCACAGTAATGTAGAAAATGAATTTTGGCCAGAAAATAAAGTGCTTAAGGAGTGACAATGGTGGTGAATTTATATTAGCATATATCTTTCAATTTTATGAGAAGAATGACATTTAAAGATAAATAACATGTTTTAGTACCCCTCAGCAAAATGGAATTACAAAAAGGACATTGGCATATCTTGCTTCAACAAGTCTTGCATAGTTATATGATAAAATTTCACATGAAAACTTTGGGCTAGAGCTTTTCAATGCGTTTGTCATCTAACAAATTGTTTACCTCCATGGCTAGGTAAATAAATTTCTCATTTCTATACTTTGTACAATGTAAAACCAAATGTAAATTACTTTTAGGTATTTAGTTTAATTTGTTATGTTAATATTTTAAAATCTAATTGAACTAGACTTTATTAGAAGCAAAAAAGCGTATTTTTGTTATGATTCATGTACAAAAATGATAAGGTGTATACATCTAGAACTCAAGAAGTTTGTTACTTCTAGAGATGTTATGTTCGACTAAATATTTCGTCATTATTCAGCCAAAAAATCTTTAGTTTAACAAGCCATTTTTTTATGGTGATTTAAAAAGTTCACAACTGGTTCCTAACAGTAATTTACAAGATTGAAACACTAATGAATCTCCAACTCAAAACAATGCAAGTAGTGGTGAACAACAAGTTAAAAGGAGGTCGACAAGACAGAGAAGATAACCAAATTACCTTAAGATTATGAGGTTCAACTTTATCATTGCATCGTTGCTTCATGCTTCTATATAGGAGCATTAGCTAAAGAGCCAACAAGCTACGAAAAAGCCAAAAGAGGTCCGAAATAGGAAGCAGCCATGTAAGAAGAAATTGAAAGTTTAAACAAAAATAAAAAATCAGAGTTAGTGTCAAAACCAAAAAATTCCAAACCTATCACTTGCAATGGGTTTACTGGTTGAAGAAAAATTCAATGGGACTGTTGACAAATACAAATCTCGATTTATTGCACGTGACCTCTCTCAAAACTATGAGCTAGATTACGAGGAGACATTCAGTCTAGTTACGAAAATGATAACAAAAAAAAAACTACTTTTTTTTCTCTTACAACATTTAAAAATTGAAAATTCTAGCAATTTGATGTAAAGAACACATTTCTTTACAAAAAATTAAATCATGAAGTATTTACGAAGCAACCCAATGGATATGTTTCGAAATAGTATTCTCACCATGTTTATCAGCTTAAGAAGGCATTATATAACCTTAACTAAACACCATATGCTTGGTATGTTAAAGTTGTCGAATACTTTATCTTTTGTGGCTCTAAAGTTTCTGCTGCAAATTCTAATTTATTTATTAAATTAGAATCAAATATGTACTTGATGGTCTTATTGTATGTGAATGATATGATAATTACTGGAAATAATGAAACAAAACATTTTAGGTAAAAAAATGAACTTAATATTCAATTTGAGATGAAAAACTTTAGGGAGGCTACCTGTTTTCTTAATTTAAAAATTGAATAATAGATTAGTAGTATTTATTCTCAAAAAAAAA